CGACTAGTTACTACACGCTGCGATATCAATTCATACATGTTTGAAACAATTTCGCCCATGAATCTCTATCATTAGCAATTTCTTTAAGATACATAAGACCTTCATAACTATTCAGACAAAGATGTCGTTTTCTTACAACTACCTGCAATTGATTCATTAAGTTACTTTGCGGTCTACCAACACTCCCTTTATATGTTTTAGAATTACTTAAAGCAAATGACATAGCAGTAAATGCTGGTGTATTTTCATCTAATCTAACTATGTGACCTAACATCATCCAACGTGATTTTTCAATTATTTTTGACAATTGGGATGTGGCAGTAATTTTATACAAGTTTACATTACTAATTCTTTGAGGCCAAAATATCTTCAGAATTATTCTTAGATGTTTTCTGTGGAACGCATCAACTTTGTTCCACCATTTAACAGGTAGTGCCCAACTATTTGAGTTGTATAATAAAACTGAAACAACAATTGCATTATAAAGTCTTAATTTAGTATATATTGATATATTCTTGTTGTTCCATGTTTTCATATAATTACTGAACGCTACTGTAGATAATATCATTCGATGTTTAACATCAGAGATACTATCGAGCATAGTCCCTAACACTTTATGATTACGCCATTCTTCAGACCTAGGTTCATTTTTCTTGTCAATATAAACGTGTGTTAATTCAGTTTTTGTCGGATTAATATATAATCTCCACTGCCTGAAAGTACTAGTTGCTACAGTTAACATTTTATCATCTTTTAAATAATTATAAAATTATGCATATAATAATACTAATAATCAGTAATAATTAAAGTTATTTTAATATTATATCGTAGTTAAGGCAGATATGATATGTAAATGTTGATATTTTAGATATTTAAACTTGCTCATCACTCTTATCAGCAATTACTTATTAATATTAACATAATATGTGTATGTGGATTAGATTGGATTTCTTCGCTGTTGTACAAACCAAGGATAACCCACGAAAATCTGAAGAAGACATATTTAAAGTGGGGGGGGGGGGGTGGTCACTCCGGTAGTGAATTTTTAAGGTTGTTTACCTTTTTATTTCCTCCACTTTTCGGCGGAAATGGGATTTCATAAGTTAAAAAGATGCCTGAAAATTGTTGAAATGAACTGCATAAATTACCCAGATCGTAAAGAGCCCTGTACAGCCAGAATACATCTTCTTATAGCAAGATACCGGTATCGTGCAAATATCGGTGTGCGTGTGCCTTTATTATAATTAATAAGAAGTATGAGAAAAAATGTGTAATGTAAAGTAAATACATCGAAGCCAGTTAAGTTTTATTTTCTATGGTGCATCACATAGATTAATTAGATCTCTATGATTGCCGAAAATCCCTAATAAAAGATGATGAGAAAGTTAATTTAATTTAACTTAATTTTGACTATAATGGTGGTGTGATGATGATGAATTTTACTAAAAGAGTATCAATTCCGGCCAGCTAGAAGTACTATTTACCAAATTTTCTGAGATGTGCTGAGATGGGTGTGGACTCATGGCTTAAAGTAGATAAAGTAAATGCATCAGAGGCAATATTTTAAAGTTTTATCTTTAATGGTATATTACAGAGATTATTTATATCTCTGATTGCCGAAAATCGCTGATAAAAGATTTTGAGAAATTTCTTAACGCTTTATTTTGACTATAATGGTGATGTGATGGTGATGAATTTTTTTTGAACAGTGTAATTCCGGCCATCTAGAAGTACAATTTACCCAAGTTTTCGCGCTTCAACCCCAACCATGGTATGGCTGAGCTTGGTGTGGAGTCACGGCTGTAAGTAGATTAATTAAACAAATTACATTATTGATAAGATATTTTAAGATCAAGGGAAATTTGTTGACGCATCATTTTGACTGTAATGGTGATGTGATGATGATGAATTTTACTGTATAAGATTGTCATTTTCGGGAATCTAGAGGTAGGCCTACTATTTTCTCAAATTTGGGGTTGCGGTTATCTAGGCTCATGGGTGAAGCGGGTAAATTATAAGTAAATACATTTTTAATGGTATATTACAGAGATTATTTATATCTCTGATTGCCGAAAATCGCTGATAAAAGATTTTGAGAAATTTCTTAACACTTTATTTTGACTATAATGGTGATGTGATGGTGATGAATTTTTTTTGAACAGTGTAATTCCGGCCATCTAGAAGTACAATTTACCCAAGTTTTCGCGCTTCAACCCCAACCATGGTATGGCTGAGCTTGGTGTGGAGTCACGGCTGTAAGTAGATTAATTAAACACATAACATTATTGTTAAGATATTTTAAGATCATGGGAAATTTGTTGACGCATCATTTTGACTGTAATGGTGATGTGATGATGATAAATTTTACTGTATAAGATTGTCATTTTCGGGAATCTAGAGGTAGGCCTACTATTTTCTCAAATTTGGGGTTGAGGTTATCTAGGCTCATGGGTGAAGCGGGTAAATTATAAGTAAATACATAAAAAAACAATGTTTTAAAGTTAGAATATTATGGTACATCACACACAATATTAATTAGATCTCTACGGTTGCCGAATATCGTTGATTTAAAAGATCATGAAAAATTTTCCATTTCTGCCCTCCAGCTTAAACACACACACACAAAATGATGAGGATTGAACCGGTGACCAAGAGATCTCACGGCTTTGGGCCCACGCAGTGGCTAAGACCTGTTTAGCCGACTGAGCCATCCGCTCTTATCTTATGTCCTTTTTGCTCTTGCTTAATATTATTACTAAAAAGAAAACCAAATTCCATTTTAATATTAGACAATGAAAGTTATATTATACGTTTTTTAATTGTTCTTACTTTCACAAACGTATCCATACTCATCATTACAGCTTTCGTGACGAATGTTACCACCCGAGCCGATACGAAAGCAATCCTTATTATCCGGGTCGGTAGTAATTCGAAACTCATTGTATGTCGGTTGTTCGTGGGTCAGCCAGACTGGATGTCCTTCCTCCGCAACGTCGTTCAACCCTGTCCATATTTTTACCGGGAAATCGTCCAAAGTCGAGGCGATAGCAGTGATGTTAGACAGCTCTTCTTCCGTGTTGATCGTAATTAAATGTGAAGAGAAACTCTCGCACATTGCTTTCGCGTCGTTCCAAGTTGTAGCATTATTTACAAACTTGTAGCAATGATGATTGTACAGTATTGTGTCATCTGAAAGCAACATATAAGAGTATACGACATTAAAAAGCACAAAATCTACATTATATTTCGTAATTTGCTTTTGTACCAAACCTAGACTTGCTGTTAATTAAATTAATTATTTTTTGCCAACTCCAAAACCTTAGTCCAGAATGTGGCAGGTCGACGATTGTGCTACCATGTATGCGCATAAACGACCCAATCATAATTCAGAATAAACTTATTGATAATTTGAACAAATGTAATAGGCCTAGATGGCTAGTAGGAAATACTTCCTCTCTCCATCTTGGTAAAACCGAGTGTATTCTATTTGGGACTAACAGAAGGCTGACAAATGTAAATAAATTTGAAGTTGAAATAATGTCGGGTCATGTTATTAATGGCAGAAAATCAGTAAAATGGGTTTTGAAATTGATGAAAGTGCATCGAGAGGTTAAATTTCCTCAAATTTTATTTCAAAGGCTAATGCCAGGTTAAAATTCCTCTACTGTCAAGTCCCATATCTTAATGCTAGATGTAGAAAATTATTATCCACTGTCCTGATTCAAAGTTTACTTGATTATTCATTCTCTTCCTAGTATGTTGCTGTATCCAAAAGCACTTAAATCAAAACTCCAGTTCACACAGAATAAATTAGTTCATATCATCAATAAAAAGGGACCCCTGGCTCATGCTGGTCAGCGATAATTATATAATTTAGGTCTTTTAAATTTGGAAGATATAGTTGAGTTTCTGATACCCTGCCATATAACATGTTCCATTATAACTGTCCATCATATATGCATTTTAGTTTTATAGGATATATCAATCCAACAGCTACAATACTAGGAATAGTTCATTGACTTTTATAGTGCCCACTAGAGCGTCTGATTTTTTTTGTTATAAATCAATCAAAGATTGGAATAAATTACCCAAAGAAATTAAAAATAAACCAAATATTTCTATATTTTACTGCTACTAAACACATTGCTACTGAGTCTCGAACAGCTGAACATTCTTCTGTTGTATAACTGAAAAGAATGTTATATATATATATATATATATATATATATATACTTATACATGTACCGTATATTGGTCGACACTGAGAAATACGTCTAAGCAGAATGATTACTAAAGTTAAAAGGAATCTTACAAAGGATGTTAAATGTATTACTTTATGGAAGACTAAGAAAATTTCTTACTTCACTTTCACAAAAGATACTACTCTCTATGAGTTCGGTATAGTGTACCATTTTAAATGTTCTGGATGTAACCATGATTATACTGGTAAAACAGATAGGTGTTTATTACAACATGCTACCTTATTTAACAGTGTAGTTCACGTTCATACCTATAATTTTCAGTGCAATAGATTTTGACATTTTAGTCTATTGCAATAACTCGGGAATTTGAAATTGAATGACCAGCTGATTTGAAATGTTCGGCTACTGGTTGATCAGGCTTAACAGTTTTGATAGATGATTTATGTTGTGTCATAGATTTGAAGTCAAAGGTCATTAAGGTGTCATTCGTCTTTCTAACAGTATTTGAAAGTGCTACTAGAGGCAAACGATTGTGTCATTTTCAAACAACTTTTTAACTGTACCATGATGTAGCTCACTGATCTGGCACTTCTGACCCAGTTCTGTGGTTAGTTTACTATTGTTATGCTAGTCTTTATGGATCAGTTCTGTACATGCTCATATGGGGTAAATCTTATCTCGTCAGAATTAAACCAATTCATTCTCTGTATTTGTATCTCAAAATAAGTATTCTATCAACTTACGTGAGCATCCAAGAACTTCAAATCTTAAGCTGCAACGATCATGACAGATAGTTGTATGAATTTGGATAAACTTGGCGCGTACTCTGGATGGGAACATATTTGTTACGGCAGTGTCATGGTCTGAGTTGGCATTAAACACCTTGTTAAAAGAAGTGCAACAAATAGCAAAATAAATACAAGTTTGACACAATCAATAAGAAGTCATCTGCGCGTGGGAGAACTGTGAGCTCTTGTTGTCGACAAGATTCGAGGACACAATTTGGCCCGAATCTGCGGTGTGCAGAGAAGAGAAAAAGTAAATCAGTTCTTGAGTAAAGTTTTCGCACAAATCAAATGATCCCTATTCACCAGCATGAAGAAATAATAAAATATTGTCCGTATCTGACTGGTTTCTTTACGTTAAAAACGATTTTTCGTTGAATATTATTTTAATTCGTCAGTGCGTAAAGTAGACATGGAAAAATTAACGCAAACAAGAGTGTGTTAATTTGCAATAATTTATTCACATGACCAGAACATGGCTGATTTGTCAATTTACCAACAACATTGTGGTAGTATAATTTAGATTAAATTTCAAAAAATGACAATTATAATATTTACCCACATAGAATCGTGGAAATGGTAGGCTAACAGAATCCAAAAACTGCATGAAAATATTTTTTTTTCCTGCATGAAAATATTTTTTTTTTTTTTTTTTTTGCAACGAAAAACGTATACTGCCACTAGCCGAAGCAATATTGCTCACGCTAGCGTGTATTGCAGTATCTACGCTGCCATTTCGTTTTGTCGAGTACCATTAGGCACAAGCAGCAGGCGCGGTTTGACGAAGAAAGACCAGTCGAATGCGGCCATTAAAGCTTACTGCAACTGCACCGGCGTCCATGATTGTAGTAAATGTGTCTCCATCAAGACTGTAGTGAACTTCGTATGAGCGCACCCATTGGGGATAGTCTCCCCGGCCCTGCGTAATCAATCCGGTTACCCATAACGGAGAAGAAAATTCAACTTGAATCCATTGTTGTTGGTTGTTCCTACTTATCCATCCCCTGGCATCATTTAGTCGGGCAAGATGAGCCGCAAAGCCATGTGAATACTCCGAAGATGCTGTCAGTTTTTCTGAAGGAATTGTTCCATCTTCAAGCCCAAGAGGCTTATTACAGGATTCTAAACAATATTTTAATAACATTTTTTTACTTATTTATTTTTATTTATATCTTTATTCTGAATACAAAAATAGTATTAATGGATAAAAAAAATTGTCCATTGTGGTCCAAAAATATTAAATATAAAATACAGAATAAGAAACAATAAATTAAACATTAATAAATACAAAGAATTCAATTGCAAAACAATGTTAAACATCATTTAATTTTAAAATTTAATTATAATATTCTTTAAATTTTTTTGTTGTTGAAATACTTGATTTGAGAGTGTGCTTTGAACTGAAAAAGAAAGTGAATTCCATATTTTAATGGCTGTAATTTGATAAGTGGTAATTTGATGGGAGGGTGGATGGACACCCAGCAGCACGAAAAAAAAAAAAAAAAAAA